CTATGTGTGTGCCTGCCCCTCACTCCCAAGCCACAGCCCCCCCAGCCCTGCTGCTGCCCCTCACTCCTGACCCACAGTATTTCACATCCTGCCAGCGTGTGTGGGAACCCCTCATCCCTGGGCTTCCAGCCCTACACACATACCCCACCCCCCACCCATACAAAGTACCTGCATTATTTTTACACACCTTTAGTTTTTCTGCGCATAATTTTGAGTTTTTTAGCTGTGCGATTAAAATCACGATTAATTGCAACTAATTTTTTTAATCGCGCAACTAATCATGATCAAATTTTTTAATCGTTTGATAGCCCTAATTTTTATATTAATTTTAAATTAATATAAGAGTAGGGCCTTGTAGTACTGGAAATGCTGAGGCAAGTACAGTTACAAACAACTATCACCATGCCACTTCAAACTGCTGCCAAGTTAATATCAATGAAAGTAAAAAACAACATTGTGATGCTTCACTTTTGAAACTGGAGTCAGTGATACATCATGTAACAATCCTGTTTTCACCTCCTGGTTTAGGTCCTGATCCTGTTTCTACAGAAGTTTTGCCATTAACTTCATTTGGAACAGAGCCTTGCAGTGTTATATTGCATTTGTGGGCAACACAATATTTTGAAGCGTGGGTTGTTCCTCTTTGCTGGAGTACATGCCAGCTTAGTTATTGTTTGATGATAGGTTAAGGTGTGGCGGAGAGTCAAAACGCGTATTTGAATATGAAATTGCTCAGATTAAATGAATTTAAATAGAGTGAAATAATGAACTAGCCTCTTACATTTGAGGACCTTCATTTTGCCTGATGGCCGCACCCCAATCTGTAATGGATACATTTGTCTGTAACGCAAATAGTTTAGCTTGTTGCTAAAGAGAGGTCTAGGAGTGATAAAAGCACGTTCGCAGAGTCATGTGTAACTGCACCATAACTGTTTATGTCCCTGATAACTAGGTTAACGCCCAGAGTTTCAACAAATGATCAGAGGGTTAATGCAAAATAATATATAGGTTGAGGTGAGATTTTTGTGCTGCACCTTTTAGAGGCTTAGCACAAGACACTCAGCTATGGGGGCAACTAGGATTCTCTCTATACATTACATTTATGCCATGGTTAACATATTAATTACAGTAGAAATTAGTAGGGTGCTATATGTACCCCCAACTTAAGGCACCGTAAAATGGGAAACGGGCTACTAAAGCATTCTAAATATGATGTAGAACATGCTTATGGCTAGTTAATGGCACCTTAAATTTAACTAACATGTGGCCAGGACAGGCAGTCAACTGATTGTGGGCCCCTGCCGTAGGTTCGGTTGAGGGGGGAGCTGAAAGATCTTCCCTGGGGACTTTAAAACCAGCACCTAGCATCTTTTTTGGCAGATGTTATTTACAGCTGGCTGACCGTCAGCCCCAAGTGTCAAACCTAGGTCTGTCTTGGCCGGACCCAAGAATCAGCCAGTTGTCTTCCCTGACACCCCTGGGTGTACCAGACCTGGGAGCTGGGGCTGTCTCAGAGTTTGGGGCTGACAATAATTTGAGTTTTCTCCTCAGTCCCCAGAGAGCCATGAGTCTTAGAATCTGTAAGATAATTGTCAGCTTTGTGTGAAGCGTTGTGACATCTGGCTTTGAATGTGTCAGTGCAGGTAGAGCCCAGAATTGTTATCCCAGGTTCCCCCTGCACTGTCAAGTAATAACAACGTGATTGGGATCTGATGCCTAATCCCAAAACTGCACTTCCTCCCTGGCATGTGTGGCATGGCAGAAGGTGTGATGTTTGGAATGGGGGATCAGATCCCATCGTGCCATTAAATCAACATATACCAGGGGCCTAGGGTGGCTTTCAACTACTTTTGCTTCTTTCTGTTTCAGGGTTACTCTAAGGCAGTGATTTTCAACCTCATAACGCATTTGTGGCACCCCTCAGAAAATGCCAGCTCTTATTTTTCTGTAGTCAAAAAGCAAGTGAAAACTGATAGAGCCATTTGTCTGTTGCAAAGAACTGGGAAAGACCACAGCATGTCAGAATGGTTTTAACACTATGGAATCCTATTTGAAATCTCTGGGTTTATCTTGTGAATCATGTTTGCACACCTAACAAAGCTGACGTTGCATGGCTCCCAATGTCACCCTTGAAAGGATCTCAAGACACCTTAGGGTAGCACCCTGGTTGAGAACCAATGTTCCAAGGGCTGACATGGCCCTCGGTGGAGTTTCTGAGTTCTGCCAGCCTGCCTTCTGCTGGCAATGGGTGTCCCACCCCATGTCTGTTTTTGTAGGGTGGGCCCTATAGGATAGCTGCAATGGCCCTACACCTTGTCTGTGATGGGGGAATTCTCCCAGTTAGTTCAGGGGCTGCAGTAGGAGAGAGAATGCCTCTTAACACTTCTTTTTAAACTCCTTATCTGAGTTACTAATAACGTTGGTAGATGTGTTGCCAGTAGGTCAAGGGAAGTGATTATTTCCTTCTGTTCAGTACTGGCAAGGCTACATCTGGAATATTGTGTTCAGTTTTGGACCCCCCACTACAAAAAGGATGTGGACAAATTGGAGAGAGTCCAGGGAAGGGTGACACAATGGTGAGGGGCTGGGGGACATAACTTATGAGCAGAGACTGAGGAAACTGGTCTTATTTAGTCTAGAGAAGAGGAAGGAGACCGAGAGGGGAGTTAAGAGCAACCTTCAACTACCTGAAGCGGGGTTCAAAAGAAGATGGAGCTAAACTGTTCTCAGTGGTGGCAGGTGACAGAACAAGGAGCAATGGTCTCAAGTTGCAGCAAGGAAAGTTCAGGTTAGATATTAGGAAGAATTTTCTCACTAGGACAGCAGTAAAACACTGGAACAGGTTACCCAGAGAGGTGGTGGCATCTCCATCCTTGGGGGTTTTCAAAACCCAGCTAGACAAAGCTTTGGCTGGGATGATCTTGTTGCGGATGGTTCTGCTTTGAGCAGGGGTTGGGACTAGATGACCTAGGTCCCTTCCAACCCTAACTTTCTATGAGTCTGATTTTATGAGCTGCAATTATTAAACAATAATCATACAGAAATTTAAGAATCTGGTGGACCTTTTACTGTATAAGCTGTAAGTTTTTCTTACCTGGGGCAAAGAAGCTAACTTGTTGGTGTCACTGTCTGTTATATGCCATTTCATGTTCTGTTCACTGCTAGCACAGTGCTAAACTATTTAAGTTCCCAGCCCTGCAGGGAGCTATTTCTGTCTCTTGAACCAAACCCACTTTCACTGATCCAGCAGGCGGTTGGACTAGATGACCTCTGGAGGTTCCTTCCGATGTCCTACTTTTCTGTGATTCTCTGACATTTCTAAAAGCCCTGAAAGAAGAACTATTTGTTAAAAATGTGTGTAAGAGCCAAATTTTGGCACTTAAGCTGTGTGACGGTGTCTGCTTAACAAGAACAGTACTATCTTGGAATGACAGTGCATGCATCTTAGATTACAGCTAAGGTTAACAGCATGAAAAGGTCGTGCATTTGCATCCTCATAAGGGAACATTGCACATGTAGGAAAGGGGCAGATTCCATAGAAAGGGCAGAGAATAAATTTGCATCAAGTGAAAAACTTGAAAAAAGTCACAGTTGAACAGAAAAGAGGAAAAAGATTGAATGATTGATAGAAGTCTCATGTGGTGATAGAGAGCCAATTTACTTCCCTGCCCCACCCAATAGTTCTCATTGTGAATATTAGAATCACTGTATGGTACTGTTTGAATTTTCTCGGTATACAAGGGAGTAGCTTCAGCATCCCTGGCTTGTTCTCCTGCACAGGTGTTTAAGGGGAGAGGTACAAGAAGTTCTGCTAAAGAGAAGGGTTGAAAATGTCTGTGGGAAGATAAGGTTCTCTATGCAGGCCTGGCTGGCTTGATTAATCCCCAGGCTGAGGAAGTTCGGTTTGTTACTCCTTTTGGGCTTCACATCAATATTCATTATAAGATTTTGCCCTGTTGTGCAGATTTTATTGCTTGATGTTCTATTTTGTTTCTGTTCATTGATCCCACCACTTCCCACCCTGATTAAAACTAGAGTTTGTGATACAACAGGGCCTGGCATTCTTCTCACAGGCGGGGGTTAATAGAATAGATAAATTTATCTGACACCAGGTTCCAAACTTATTAAAGTTTTTTTAAGTGAAAGGGACTTGTGTCCATGGGACACTGACAAATTAAAAAAAAACCTTTTTAAGAAGGTAATTGAGTTGCTTTGTGTTTGCAAAAAGCATTAAAAGGTCTAATTCTAGTATGGGTGTGGATTCGAGCCCTAATTTTCAATACAGGCCTTTGATATGGGGTGTACATCTTGAAACATGTAGATTTTTTTCCCCTACAGTGTGAAACGTTCCTGCAAGTATTTGCTCCTCAGAAGGTGACTTATGACTTGACAGAAGCCCTGGAGTCGTGGACCATTCAAAGATTGTTTTATTGAAATGTGATAGACTCTGTGGAATTTTTAGAGACAGAAGTATTGACTACAGGGAGTCCTCGACTTACTATGTTTTGAGTTGCAATGCTTCACACTTGCAATGTTTATAAATTGACACCTTGTTTCAACTTTCTGACATCAGTTTTGACTTTACAACGCTTGATCTGTTGCGACACCACATCAGCGAACAAGTTTGCTGCATCGCCCATCTCCCTGGAGAACATCTGTCCAAACTTCTGTGGACACTTTCTTTAAGAAAACAGACAAGACTCCAGAAAAACCTGCAGCCAGGACTCCTGAGAAGACTCCAGCCAAGAACCCTTCAAAAAGTCCAACTAAGAGCCCTTCAAAAAGTCCAACGAAGTCACCTCAAAGAAGTCCTTCCAAATCAATACAATTGCTATTTACAATATAAATGCATTAAAGTAGCTATGTTACTCATCTATAATTGATTGAGTACAAAATTCTGGGTTATTTTGGTGAAAATAGGGTATCAAGTCTTGGTTCAGGAACCAATCCCCATTTATAACGTTCTTTCCTATGGGAAAATTGGTGCGAAGTTACAACGTTTCGACTTAAGATGCAGTTTTCAGGAACCAACTGTGTCGTAAGTCCAAGGACTGCCTGTATATACAATGTGTATATGGATCGTTATGGTCTCATTAGGAATCCTGTTCCTGGCTAGACTGGTAAAATAAAGGATGCTTCATCCAGAAACTAAAGACGATGCTTATCCCTTTTTACAAAACAATGCAGCTGACAAGTCTTGAAGCTTCGCCTCCCTGGGGAAGAGGGACGCAGACTGATTCAACCAAGTTCAAAGGAGACAAAGCACTTGAAACTGTGTGAAGTAACAGCCCCTGACCTGCAAGACAGAGACATTATCTGAAAACTGACAGGTGTGAGACTGAGAGAAACAAAAATGGGCCCTGTGGGAGGGTACAGAGTATTGCAGATTTGCCAGGGTCTCCATGTGGAAGATGGGTGAACACCTGGTAAGCTAGATGTGTACAAGCTGCCTATTGTTGTGTGTGCTGTTTTCTCTGAAGGCCTTTGTTCCAAATAATGAATACTTTGCTTTATGAAAGCTGTCTGCTCACTGGTTAACACTATTCTTGTCCTTTAGAGAAAAGATTTGCAGGTGCTGAACTGAAGTGCTACCTAATGGGGGTGCTACCATTTCGAGTGTCGCTACCAGGTGCTACCTAAATGGGGGTGCCCTAAGGTGCAGTTTGCATAGGAACCATGATCTTTATTCCATTGGGAATACTTTCATCCTAATCCTGTATCAACATAGTCCAACATAATATTACCTACCTTTTCCACAAGCATTAATACAGGAAAATTACTTTCAGCAAATACATATGCGCTTGCACACACGCACGCATTCACTCTCAAGTGTGGTCAGTTTTAGTTTTGTTTAGCAAGATGGTCAAATGAACATACAGAGAAGGAGGTAATCGGATTCATGGCTCTCTTTTATTGCAGTTTTTGCTTTTGATTACAGCTCAAATTGGTGTAAGCAGTATTCTCATCTATTGTCACAGACAGATACGCTAGTGATGGTAGGAACAAACAATAGATCAGATCTTATTTTTTTGTTGTGTGAATCTATCTTTCCGTGCATTTAGATTTCAGCAAATTGCCCTTGGAATATATTGATCCTCTGGGCAGTTCTAAGTATCTACAGTTTTATCCCTACAATTGTATGCAGGTGTAAATAAACTTAGTTAGGTGTCTAGTACTGGATTGAGCTCATAGTAGTTATCTAAATGACTTCACTGGAATCTGTCCATAATTGCAGCTGCAAAACAGGAGACCATCTTTAAAAAAATCTAATCTGGTGTTTGAAAATCTTCAACAGAAGATCTAAGTAAGGCATGAGTGTACATGAACTTGCAACATATTAGCCGTTTTTAATTGAAATGCATGCACATATTTAGATTGCAAATATCATTCTGAAGAAGTTGAAGGACTCTGCCTTGTTTAACTCTGCCTTGGCAAAACATTCTTCCCTGCCCTAAAGAGCTGTAGTTGCTGTTAGTCCTATCAAGATTTTGAATGGCAAGTTTCTTTATTTTTATATTGAATTGTTATCCAAATGCAGCTAATCTGTTCCTGACATTTTTTGTACAGTGTTGTATAATTGTTCTTACTATGTGTTGTAGTTAAAAGTAGCTAAGACTACTTTTAGCAGACCTTCTTCTTTAGGTGGTCTTTTGGTAGAAGTGTTTTAAAAAATAAAAAAAATTATGGGGGGCAATAGTAATGCAGAACAAACTTGCTCATTTAACAGTGATTCTGGTACCTTCTACCACTTGCAGCAATTACATTTTTATTCATTTAACATTAGATTGGGTTACCCTTGCTCAGACAGATTAAGGCATCAGTCTTAAAAATAAGACTAATAAAACAATGGGTCTACCTATAGAAGAAAGTGGGTGCATCTACATGTGCAATTAATGCCACATGATAAACTTCAGACCAGTTTGGGCCAGAGAAAAATGTAGGACTGTGTGAAATTTCGCCAGCCGTTTTGTTCTGATACTGTTTCAACCAATTTCGAGGTCAAAACAGCAAAATTGGAACAAAACAAAGCCAGTCAAAATAGCCTTGAAACAAAATGCGGCTGGTCAGAACATTTTGAAAGTTGAAATGTTTTGACCATAGGCTGGGAATGGGAAGTCAGTCCAGCTGGGCTGACTTCCCTTTCTCAGCACAAGATCCGGCATCCCCATCCGCTTGATCACGCCGGGGGTGGGAGGCAGCCTAGCTGGGCTGCTTCTCGGGGGCCCTGTGCTTGATCACTCCGGGGGCAGGTGTCATCCCAGCTGGGCTATCTCCTGCCCCCAGTGTGATCTAGTGGGGGCACTGACCAGGAAGCAGCCCGGCTGGGCTGCCTTCCACCCCAGTGCAATGTAGTGCTGGGGATGAGAAGTCAGCCCAGCTGGTCTGACGTCCCATCCCCAGCAACACTCGAAATGGCATCAAAACAGCTTTCTGTTTTAACGGAATGGAACGGAACAGCTGTTTCGACTCGAAATGAAATTTGATTCGAAACACTGTTCCCTCGAACCATCAAAACTCAAGGGAATGGTGCCATTTTGCACAGCCCTAGTAAAATGCTCCTTGTCAAAGCATGTACATGTGCACATGGGACAACAGTAATTTGAGCCCAGGGCAGAGTAGAGCCAGGCTGGCAAGGGGTGGTCAACTCTGGGCTCTGGGTGGTGGCATTGGGCAGTGGAGGGATTGGCTGGGGCACAGAGGTGCTGGTCCTGCAGAGCCAGGTGGCTAGGCAGCAGTCAGGAGTCTGGCCCCTGCCCAGTCACCATCTACACGTGTGTTTTGCTGCATTAAATGATTCTGCTGTAAGACTGTACTGTCCCCGACAGTACTATATTATGGAGGATTTAATTAGTTTATTGCACTCTAATCCCGGCACACGTGTAGACAGTGACGCTTTACTGCGGAGCTAATTAGTCTACTCTGCAGTAAAGTGCATATGTAGATGCACCCAGCATGTCTTAATGATAGCGAGGATTTGGTGCTTAGCTGGGAGAGATAGTAGACAAGCTTTCAGTACCCATCCTCAGGTCACTTAAAATGAGAGACTGTGAAAGCTGTAGGTCGCAGAGGCAACAGGTTGTGACAGCGCATCCTGAAATTTCACAGCCTGCAATATACCAAAGTATCTCAATGGGCAGCCAAGTCTCATTAGGTCAACTGACTCCAAACAGAAAGTGAAAGCACTGGAGATTCTGATGCCCTCTTTGTTCTTGCTGGGCACATCTACATGAGACACTACCTCCCCATAACGATGAGCTATGGCAATGTAGCGTCAGCAGGCACAAACTGTGATGGCTGGCTATGTAGCATCTAAAAATAACCATGTGCTGCTGGGTCTAGGTAGTACCAAATGCGCAGTCAGAGGCATGTGTAGATGTGTCCACTGAGTAGCATCCCACTGTATGAAGTCAGTAAGGCTGCAAAAGAAGTAAGATGCAATTAAAAGGATCAAACTATGGACTTAATAAGTAACTATCTCTGTGGCTCCTGTGCTAATAGGTCCCCCACAAGCCCCTGGCAAGACTCTAAGCGTCAAATCCTTACTATTGTTAAGACATGCTGGGTACATCTACACGTGCACTTTACTGCAGATCCACTGTAAAGCATCACCATCTACACATGTGCCAGTATTAGAGTGCTGTAAACTAATTAAATCAGCCATAATATAGTACTGTCAGGGACAGTACTGTCTTACAACAGGGTTATTTACTGCACTGAAACACACGTGTAGGCAGTGACTGAGCTGAGGCCAGACTCCTGACTGCTGCCTAGCCACCTAACCTAAACTTCCCTTGCTTCAACTTGAGCACATTGTTCCTTGTCCTGTCATCTGGCACCACTGAGAACAGTCCAGCTCCATCCTCTTTTGAACCCCCCTAATAGCCTACAGCTGCTATTAAGTCCCCTCTCAGTCTCCTCTAGACTAAATAAGCCCAGTTCCCTCAGTCTCTCCTCAAAAGTCTTGTCCCCGACTCCCCTCACCATTTTTGGTCCCATCTGTTGGACTTTCTCCAATTTGTCCAAATCCTTTCTGTAGTGTGGGGCTCTTGCTTATTTCATTTCAAAGAAAGTCAGTCATCTAAGTCCCCAAATGAGCAGTGTTCAGATTTGGTGTCCCCTCATCTTTATTGATGAAAATGTGTAAGAAAGGACCATGGAAGAGAGAAAATTGATTTGTTACATTAAAGGAATAAATACCACAGCATTTTAAGCTTCCTGCTTGGATAATTTTTATGTCTTTTGTTTTGCATCTTCTACACTTCCAGGGCCCCACTGAGCCTTGGGAGGTTTAGAGGTATGACATCAATTCAGACTTGTTTTCAAGCAGCCAAACTACAGTCATGCTGAAATTTTCATTAGCCACCCAAGCTTCCCAGGCTGTTTTCTGCTTTCCAGAATGTTTTCTGCTTTCCAGCAAATCACTTGCAATTTCATCCAACCGCACAACTCTTTGTACCATGACAACTCACTCTAGATGGGTAACGCTGGCATCTGGTATACAGTAGTGTGTAGGAAAATGAGTATAATTTGATGATACTTTACAGTGTAATTGATAAGTTACATCTGACTATTCTATATTTGCTTCAGGATCAAGAGCTTCAGATTTGGGTCCTGCTGACCTGTTTCTACTCCAGACCTAGACCCTAGTTCTACATGATTGTATAAATCGGAATGGTGAGAAATGGATACTGAACTTGCTGTGGTAAGTAGATATTGCTACAGATGGTAGGTGGCGGTCCAATTACCAGATTGGTGGTGACATTGCCTAGCTCTATAAGGCAATACCTGGAAGTCACTTTGTATTTATGGCAAGAGACAGTGAGAGCCAAACTTTTTAGGCAAGTGTGTCATGAATTAGCTCTGCATCTTCCCTGAGTGCCACTCTGAGCTCTATGCCCTGCCTGATCTGCTGCTCTGCTTTCTGGTTCCTGCTCACTCTGCCACTGTGCTGTCTGTCCCCTCCCCAGTCTGCCACAGAGACTGCCTGTGCCGCTTGAAGAACATGTGATGTAGGTTGGCCACCTCAGTGTAAGAAGTCAGTGGAAAATACAAATGATTAAAGTTACAAACACATTTTCCTATTATAATTAGCCATAACACAAGTGACTTTAACCTTTATTTTAGTTCTAAACTTCCAGGTTTGTTTGAGTCAAGAACCCTCTGAATTCCTTGCACTCCCACTAAACACCTTCCATATTATGGTAAGTCTCCATTAAAGCATTCAGTGAATTCTCTTGCTTTCCTGCAGGTGTTGTCTGCCAAGGTGTATGAGTTTGAGTGTGGTGTCAAAGCTGGTTTATATGCTGCTTGGATTCTCATAATAAACATCTTGGATAAGGAAAACTCCTATGCTTTAAATTATGCATAAAATATGCACTGATGTTGGGGCAAGTTCTATCTGTTGCAGGTGTAAAATTGATCTTGTTGGGTTGCAGTATTAGTTAACAAATCAGAACTTTCCAGGAAGTCATGGATACCTCTGACTTTTTAACTCCCCATTTTAACAACTCTCCCAATTACACAGGTGGTCCAATAAAAGATATCATCCCACAAAATCCTTGCGTCTCATCAGAACCAACCTTAGGGAAAATTATGCTCTGGGTGAATTTGTATTTTGGTGTTCTATACCACCCTCCCCTCCCCCACTCCCAGTTCAGAAATTAAGCAGTAATCTCAACAGTTTGTCATACATAACTGAACAAAATACAAAAGAGGAAATTACACAAAATTAAATTAAATTAAAATAAATTAAATTTTATTCAAATAATATTATGATTGTTATTTGAATTAAATTGCATTTGAATTTGGATAAAAATAAAATTTGCTGGCAAATGCTTGCACATGCTTGCAAGTCATAAAAATAGCATTATAGCTAAGTGACACACTAGACATTAAATAAAGCACTAACCTAATAAAGAATAATAACAAATAAAAAACTTTGTTCATCAAGTTTCTAAGGCTTGGAAGACAACTCTGAGTGCCTTTGCTGCTGCAAACTCTGATCTTGTTGGTGACAGGTGTATATTTTGAGCCACGGCATTCTTAATAGATCGGATGGCCAGCAAAGATAGCCTGTCATCTCCCGTGGTTGATCACAAATATGCTTTTGTGAGCTTCAGCTTTGAAAAGCTTTGTTCACTGCTTGCCACCATTAAGGGAATGGTTAACAGGATCCTGAGTACTATTCATGTGTTTGGGAAGTTGTCTTGAAGTCCACTGCAGTAAATTAGGGGTGCACCGTTGAAAGGTTTTCTTGGCCAATACTGTTACCCGATTATTAACCAGCCGTATCAACTGATACCAATCAGATAACTGATTTACAAGAATGCAGCTGGGCAGCGTGGAGATCAGTGCCCTGCAGGTAAGTCTGTGTAGTGGAAGGGGCATGTGGGGAGGGGGGCAGATTGAGGCGCCCATGGTGAGGGAAGGAATAGGGCAGGGACAGGGGCAATGGTTGGAGCTGGAGGCGCTGCCCAGCCAGGGTGGTGAATGGGATCTGGGACGGGGGCAGGGAGCAGGACGGAGCCTCAGGCAGCTCATCCAGTGTCCTGGCATTTAAAAATGATGGCGGGGGCACTTGAACTAAAGCTTATCAAATGAACTAAAGTTTAAGCACCATCGCCACCTTTTTTAAATGCAGGGACACTTTTAACAAGTGGAGCCAAGTGGGGTGAGGGCAGATGAGGGCTGCTGGCTCTGGGCTCAGGGCTCTCTGCTCTGCTGACTTTGACCCAGGGGCCCTGCATCAGGTGTGTGTCCCCTACCCATCCACCAGCAGGAGGCACAACTTGCTCACACTTCTGTCCTACTCTCTGCCCTGACCCCAGGTCCCATTCACTGCCCTGGCTGGGCAGCACCCCAGCCCCTGCTCAACTCCCTCCCTTACCATGGTGGCTTTGATCTGCCACCCCTATGCCCCTTCCCTCCCTCATGCCCCTTCCCCTCCATAGACTTACTGGCAGGGCACTGCTCTCCACACTGCCTGGCTGCATTCTGGGCCATGTGCATGCATGCAGCTGCATGCATGCACATGGTATCCAGGGGCCCTGGCCAGAAGGCATATTATATTTATTGGTACACCAGCCAAAAAAAGCTGATAGCCGATAACGTTAATTTTCCTTTTATTGGTACCAATTTGATATGGCACCGATATATCAGTGCACCTCCACTGTAAATAGATTGTAAAACTTCTTAAGGAGCACTATATTCCAATGGAAGTAGACTTTGGAGATAGCCAAGTTGTTCGAGAGGTTGACATCATTAATGTCAGAGCTCTCTCCATATGTCGGTGCACAATGAAGGTCCTTACAGTGCTTCCTCAAAGTTTCTTTGTCAGGGAATTGCGTCATGTTATATAGAAAGCCCAAGAGGGATGATTTTGTATTCAAGTTGAAGAGCTTGCAGCAGAAACAGAAAACCTTGTCAGTGGACTCTGAGTAAGGCAGCCAGTGTCACTTCAGAACTTCACCATTTCTAAGTTTTCTGTATAAAAACATCATAGAAAAATGGCGATTCTGATCATCCACAGAAAAATCCATGTCCTTTACTTTTGGTAGACCACTGATCACTAGCAGACCTTGAATTTCAGGCGTTAGATTGGATCAGAAATCCAGGATCAGAAATGTCATCGCCAGCACTTATAATGGGAGTTGTTTCATCTGTCACTAGTGGCATCGATATTATTCTGGTCCAGATGAAGAATTTCTGTTTTGCTTGGGTCTATTTGTTTCTCTTGGATGATTCTTGGAAGTAGAATCACGGATCATCTATGTATTTTTCATCTGATGTCTCCACTGTGACTGTCTCACTACTACTGCATGGGTTGTCGTTAACAGAATTCAAGTATTTTTTCATGTCTACATCTTTTTTCGTTGCAGTCATTAACCAAGCTTAAAATTTCCTGTTTCCTCTTCTTAGGTACTTGTGACATTTTGTTTTCTTCCAGATTTCATAGCTAGTGAAATTACAACAAGCATCCCAGCACACCCTTGGACACACTGGCAGATGATTGCAGGGGTCATGGTCAGTGAAAATTAAAATGAGTATTTCTACTCTAGCCCCTCTGGTCCTGCTCCTACTGCCACCAATGCTGAGCAGCTGCCACCCTCCCCCAGCAGTGTAGATCTGGTTTGTATTACTATTCAGGAAGCTAAGGGAGTTAATGGCCCATTAATGACCCTGTGACAGGACCGTAAGCATACCCTGTCATGAAACGCTGAAGGAACAAAGGGGAAAAGGAAACTTACTGTGGCAGCGAGCCTGGGCAGGAGAAAAGCTGAATGGAAGTCCCTGGATGGTAATTAATACGATCAGCTGGGGAAGTCAAGAGAGCAGCAAATGGAAAGCTCTGGCCAGGCACACAGGTAATCGGTGCAGGAAGTTAAAAGAGAGCAGACCAAGCAGTTGGCTCTTCTCCAGAGAGGGGAGCAGCATAAGGGGAAGCTCGAGGGAGCACAGAGGTGCAGTGACAGTATGGGGCCAATCGGAGATGGGCAGAAGAGGGTTTGGCAGACAGACTTTCATAGATTTCATAGACATTAGGGCTGGAAGGGACCTCGCTAGATCATCAGGTCCAGCCCCTGCCCAAGGGGCAGAAAGTCAGCTGGGGCCAAATGATCCCAGCAAGATAGGCATCCAAGTGTTTCTTGAAGTGTCCAGAGTAGGTGCTTCCACCACTTCTGTGGGGAATCTATTCCAGATTCTGGGGACATGGATGGTAAAGAAGTTTTTTCTTATGTCTAGTCTAAAACCATCTTTCTGGAGTTTGTGACTGTTAGACCTTGCCTTCCCTTGGGGTGCTCTGGTGAACAGATGTTCTCCTAGTTCCCGATGCACACTGCATATATACTTATAGTCTGTCACCAAGACCCCCTGAGCCTTTGCTTCTCCAGGGTGAAGAGTTCCATGACTCTTAGCCTCTCCTTATAAGGCCTGTTCTCTTGACCTCTAATCTTGCATGTGGCTCTCCTCTGGACTCTGTCAAGCTTCTCCATATCCCTTCTAAAGTGCAAAGCCCAGAACTGGACACAGTATTCCAGCTGCAGCCTCACCAATGCCGAGTAAAGCAGGAGGATGACTTCCTGGGTCTTGTTTGAGATGCATCGGTAGACGCAAGCCAGGGTTTTGTTTGCTTTGCCAGCTGAGGCATCGCATTGGTGGCTCATGTTCATTTTGTGGTCAGTTATGACCCCAAGTCTCTTTTGGTTGTGGTGCTAGGGAGTGTAGCACTGCTGAGCCTATAAGTATGATGTGGATTTTATTTCCCGAGGTGGAGCACCTTGCATTTCTCCGTGTTGAATGCCATCAGGTTTTGATTCGCCCACCTTGCAAGCCTGTCCAGGTCAGCCCCAATTGGTCCCTATCCTCTAGTGTGACCACCCTCCCCCATAATTTGGTGTCATCATCGAATTTAGCCACTCCACTTCTAACACATGAATCTAGATTGTTTATAACTATATTAAAGAGTACTGGTCCAAGTACAGAGCCCTACGGGATGCCACTGGTCACCATGCACCATGCTGACATGGCTCCATTGACTGTCACTCTCTGGGCCTGACCACAAAGCCTGTTCTGTGGTTGGACTTACCTGAGGAGTGGGGATGAAGAGGGAGTTGCTGCATCTGAGCCATTAGGTTTGAGTCCAGTGAGTGCAGGTCTTCGTCCCTGAGACCTGAATAAGGAAGAAAGAAAGACTGAGCAAAA